ACATAATTTCTTCAGAGTCGTTAAGCTTACCAATTCTGTAATTATATATTTGGTCATATTAGTCCCCCAATAATGAAATTCCAAGGATCACTTCAGCAGTAGCATCAAACCAATGTGTATATTTACTCATAAAAATTCATATGAAGTTAACTACCGTGCGGTTCCTTCCAGCTTTCTTTTTTCTCCAATAGAGTGAAATTAATGTGTGCAATCTAATGAGATATGGTGCAATTAGAGAACGACTATGCATAGTGATATCTTTGCTTGTATATGTTTCAAATGAAGTAGAGTTTGTGGTGACATTTCAGGAATCGAAAGAATGAAAAGCAAAATTAAATTGCTATTAGATTTCAAATTGCAGCTGGGTACGTGAATACAAAGTCAATCTGTGAAAAGCTGATTTTTAATGTACCTCCACCCATATTAAAATAATTTCGTATATATGTAGGTTGGATGTATATTCATAAAGAAGTATAATCTAGCTTACATACCAAGAAATAATAAAACTATATCAACAACAACAAAACCCACCAAAAGTCTTAACACACTGCCGGACTATGCTACCATTTGAAGAGGATGCTGGAAGATAGTATTAATCCCAACTGTAGCTTTAGTTTCCTGTGAAGAGAGCCTGTAGTAACTGAAACAGAGGAAAGTAACCCTTTGGCTTACAACTTCCAAAAGTCTCAGGTAGAGACATACTGACGGAAAATAAAAATAACAACACCAATTATGCTAAACCACTTTCAAAATATCTCTCTCTCTCTCTCTCTCTCTCTCTCTCTCTCTCTCACTCACTCACTCACTCACTCACTCTCCCCCTCTCTCCCTGATTTATTCACAGGAGGGGGGCTTTCCAAGACAAGGTTTCTCTGGTTAGCCCTTGCTGTCCTGGAACTCACTATGTAGGACAGGCTGGCCTTGAACTCACAGAGATCTGCCTGCCTCTGCCTCTGAGTGCTGGGATTAAAGGCGTGCGCCACCACTACCTAGCTATCTAATTCTCTCTTAGCTATCTGGTTTTTCCTTTTCTTTTTTTTTACAAACAAAAGAAAAATGAGTAGTAAAATCACCACAGAATGTTAATGTAAATTCATGAACTATATTATCTAATTCTGGTCTCTTTTGTGTGACACTGTACATTGAAACAATGTGTTTCATGTATGGTGAGCAAGCACTCCACCACTGAGACATACCACAGACTTCCTTTTATTTTGCATTTGGGACAGAGTCTCATTGAGTGGCCCATGCTTACCTTGCACTCACTCTGTAACCCGACTAGGCTAGGAATTTGTCATCCTTCTCTCTCAGTGACCCTGTTATTTAGGGTTGATTACATGTCTGCAATGCTGGACTGGCTTAATTATAGCCAAGACCCACTCATAGATAGCTGTAGCATTGTGAGTAGTATGTGAAAAAGAAAGCCACGTGGAAGTACTTCATATACTACTGAAGGCTTTTTTTTCAGATAATTGATAGCTATTATGATCTTCTCCACATATCTTGCTCCTTCCTGCGCCTCCTATAATTTATCAACACCAACAACTCTAGACAACTGTGATATAAGGCATTGCATCAAACCACTAGTCTTACAGAGGCAAACAATTATTTTCATGAGTATGTGAAGGATTTAAGAAAAGCAAAACATACTGGGCAAAAGTGGAGCATGCCTTTAATCCCAGCACTCAGGAGGCAGAGGCAGGTGGATCAATGTGAGTTCAAGGCCAGCCTGGTCTACAGAGTGAGTTCCAGAAGTCTCTAAAGTTACACAGAGTAACCTGTCTTGAAAATCCAAATCAAACCAAAATAAAATAGGCCTATAGTAAACAACATTTAGATGTTTCCAAGTGGACTATCCATGTAACATGCAACATGGTTTATAAAAAATAATTTGTTTTGATTTCTTTATATATTTCCTTCAAATTGTGAAAAAATATGCAAATATTACTATTACATTTTGACTGGTAAGCTAGCTCATAGGTAGAGTGTTTACATATTGCATGTTCAAGGTTCTGAGTTCAAATGCCAGTATCACATTAAAGAAAAGACTCCTATGTATTAACATCAATTACCATATCTGGAAAATATGAACACCAAATCCACTTCCTGCAGAAATTACAAGGAATTATAAATATTGAATGACAGGTGTGGTGTTGCAGAGTGTGTACTTTCACTTACTAAGCAAAAAAGCTGCCCCTAATGCACATCAGTGTTACCCAGAAAAATGTAGCTAAATTACACCTGTCTGTATGCTTGCTTTATTTCAAGTGATGCCATTCTGAAAGCCTCATGGCCCTCTCTTTTTAGTATTAGGAGCAAAATACCTATAATATATGTTCATATGAAAGACAAGAAAAATATATACAAAATCAATGTAAAATAAACCTAAACTGATTAGCTGGCTTTCACTTTTTAAACTGCACCTTCAACAAAAAGAAGTATTGAGTGAAATTGCCAACAAGCCTTTCAAAGGCCACTCATCAGTGCCAAAGACCACAACCAGCTTGTCATAATTAACTCCATATCTAAGGAAGACAAACATAAGCAACAGTTCAATGCCTAAACCCATAGCTTGAAAGATGGAGTTCAAATGGGTGAAAATTGAACTTGGGCCAAACTACTTCATCCTGCTCACCTTGTTCCATAAATCAAGTAGAAAAATAACTGTACATCAGTAATGTTGTATATTAGTTCAGTTTTATTGGACTGAATTTCATTATTTTATAAAGTGAATTTCTCCACAAAATAGCATGAATACAAAGATATGAATTATATATGTGCTTCATCACAATACACTCTTGCCTCTAACTTTAGTGCTGTTCCTGCAGATATTAGACACACACACACACACACACACACACACACACACACACACACACTTTCCTTTCCATTAAACACTTGTTTGTCCAGTCTTCAACATTGTGAAAACTATTCCAAAAGGCTTTTGCTTTCTGATTCTGACTCTCATACCTTGATGATGGGTGTCCATTACACTGCTTCCATGAACCCACTTCATGTTGAATCTAATATTTATACCTCAATTTTTGAGCTGGAAAAATTCCTTTAGATAAACATTTTTCCTGTGGGATCCCTGTATTCAACTACAGATAAACTTCAAGAAAAAATGGATAGAGATGGCAAAGATAAAGGTGAAAAAATTCCTTCATCTAAATTAGAATGAGAATATGTAAATAGCTCTGTAAAGCCCCCACAATTTCTACAATAGTAAGATACAGAAAGAAGAGCAAGAATTTAGTAACCATAGTTTCAATGCATGCGGAGTTTGCTGCCCTGGGGTGACAGAGGAGAACAGGGAGAGAGGAGAAAAACTCAATTCAACTTTTCATTGCTTGATTCATAAACATACATGCCAGAATACTTCTCTTGGCCAAGTATTTATTAAAAATGCTCACCCTGTCTGCTTATAAACAATTTGAGAAGTCAGAACTACAATATGCACAGCACTGTTCAAGAAATGACCTTCTCAGCTGACTTTATTATGAGCTATGAATAGAGCCAGCTAATAAAACACAAGGGCATTTAGTTGATTTCCAAGATTTTTTCTTTCTAGAGTTTTCTGTCCCTTCATGAAGCCCTCCTGGCAATGATTTGAACTCATTTACCTCTCCTTTATGTTACAAAACCCCAAAGCAAAGGCTCCAGGAGCATGGGTCCAAATAAAGCCTGAGGGACAACATTCAACCAAAATTCTGCAGGCAAGTTTCCTAGTTGCACCACTGGGCATCTCTACTGTGGTTTATTTGTTGTTCAATTATATACATGCAATTTCTTGCTGGTTTTACCCTTGAGTATGTATTCTGCAAAAGCTCATAAAGTTCTTAAAATTAGCTATACCTGTAATCTTATAATATTCCCCAGACTGTGAGTAAAATTGTACTTATTCACTTAAAATTAATATCCTTAGCTTGGCTCTCTGTGGAATTCTGACAAAACATTGAATTTAATGTTCACGTACCTGGGCATTTTAATCCAACAATCATGACTATCTATCTTCTAACTATGGCAAAGTGAGATTAGAAATCGCCCGGCTGTTTACAGCCTGGCCTGGGAAAGGAACCTTCACCGTGGTCATGCCAGTTGGAGGAAGAACCAAGAAAACCACAGAGCTTTTAAACGATTCAAGACAGGCAATGGGATAGAATGAAGCACGTGAAAGAAGGATGGCCTATCAGAGAAGCTCATTCATTTTGATTTGATCTTGCTGTAAGTTTAATTACATGTATCCATAAAGCTATTTCCCAAATAAGGACTGGACTCAAGCACACCGACAACTGCACATTTGTTACTTCAAGGAATGTGTGAGAATCAAGGCTCAAGATTTCCATGTATCAAAATTCTGATCTTTTAAAACCTCTCTCCTCGAACATTAGAATTCTTCATAGCTTTTGTAGAAATAAAAGCTTGCCTAAATTAGTCGTTGAACTAAAAAGCAAATATTCTTGGATACCTCAAATGAGTGGTTTTTATGAAACAGATACCTGGGATTCTGAGCATAATCACTTCTGTAGAATTCCTCATTTGGAAAATCTTACCCATTTCCTGGGGTTGAGTTTTTCCATGTTTCAAAGGCAGCTTTAGTTGGTACTTGAACTCCTCTCTAGAGCCCTGCTGCTGGGAATTCCGGGATAACTTCTAAAACCCATGTGTCCCTGGGTCCAATTCCAGTTTACAGAATCAGACTTGCCAGAAGTGATGGCAAGGTTGCTGCATGGTTGACAACTGCTGAGCTGTCTGAAACGAAGCTAGTGGGCAGCTAGAAGCAAGACTAGATGACCAGGGATTCTGAGCCTCATTTCTGACATCGTATTCCACCCCAGAGGATACTGCAGGAAGTGATCCTCTAAGCAAGAGGAAGGCGGGGGTGGGGAATGGGGACTAAAGGGTGCCTGGCAGACATCAGCAATCATCACACACAGGATGGAATCTCTGGCTTTCTGCAAAGCTCCTTCCCTTTTCTCCTCAGGACTCTCCCGCCCCCTGCTGATAGAACCCAGCATTTCTGACTTCTCTGCTAGGTTTTTGTTACTATAGAGACAGAAGCCAGGAGAGAGGCAACGATGTAAACACAGAGCTGGCTCTTGGATGTGGGGGTAAAAGAAATGTCAGAAAGATGAGACAATCAAATGGAAAGGAAGAGGTAAAGAGGGAGCTCACATAGGGCACAGCCCACAGACATTTGGCAGGAGCATTTAGGCAGGTAGTGGAACATTGAACCTAGATATCTGGGAAAGACAGAGGGCATGGGGGTTGTCGTATGTGAGCTAGGGGAGAGTCAACCCATTAAAGTTAGGTGGGAGAAGCCTGCAAGGATGACACTGGCTTCTCTTTTATCTCTTTCCATTTTTCAAAACTTCAACATCTATGAGTATAAACCAATTAACATGGTTTTGTAGACTCCAAAAACTAAGCTGGCTTCCAGCCTCTGTTGCTCAACCACTAAGAGGTGTGCGCTTTTGAGATGGTGGTGAGTAAGAGCTCGAGGGGCAACAGGAAAAGGTGATTGGCCATGTGAGGAGGATTTGGTTGCCCAGATCCTAAAATATGGAATTGCAAAATTGTTATCTATAAGACAGGATGATCAGTGGATTTCAGAGAAATTTTAAATTCCACTGCTTCATTTTTGAGAATCTATTGATTCTTTTTCTCAAAATCTAAAACGGTAATCTATCCAGGTGGTTGTTTATAATTAACTACAGTAATGACAGAAAGCAAAGGAATGAGAGACCAGTGAGTTAGTAACATCCAATGCACCACACCCCCGCCAGAACAGCACAAACTTTACAATCATTCTATATGGAAACTTATGCAAATCTAATAAATAAGATTTCTGATCGGACATAGGACATTGAACATATTCGTAGCCAACAGCTCTCTCATTGAGCTGGTGAAGATAATAAACCTGGTGCTAAGCATGTGAGAATGAGCAAAGACACTGGCCACATAATCTCAGAAAAACATACTGCAATGATGGCTGATGCAGTTGTCTGTGACAGCATCTTCATGAAGACAGAATGATATTCTGACTTTAGAGATGAACAGACTGTCTTTCACAGAAGGACAAGTGATTTGCTAGGTATCAGAAGGGTATCAGAGAAAGGCTTTGGAGTTGTTACTTACTTCTCTGGACTCCAGGAATGAAGGTATATCTTAAGTGAATAGGCAGACATTTGGTACTAGACATAATGGAACTGCCTGCTTTACTTCTGCCCATCCTGATTGGTTCAGATAAACCCATGAAATAGTCAGAGAACAAAAGGGAGCATTTAAATTTTGGAATTATTCCCTAGTACATTTTATGAGAAAATATAATAGTTCTGTTACAAGACTTAAAGTCAAAGGTTTATGTCACCAGATGGACTATCAGAGAGGAATGAAGTACTTTAGCTCTACTTCCTGTAGTAGAATTGACCCCTTTGAAATGGGATTTACACAGTCAAAGCTCATGACATCACAAATGCCCAGAGCATATAGACCAGACCATACAATGAAAGATAATTTGCTGTCTGGGCTAGAAAAGACAATGCTGAAATGTAATGCTGCTTAATTAGTGTGAGGAGTAGTGGTCATTATTTTGGTTGGAATGTAAAGTGAAATTAAAAAATAAATTTAATAAAAAAAACTGAACAACATATAAACTCTTTCAAGCTCTCACCAAAAACAAAGTTGATATGTGACTTTTTTTGTTGTTGCTGCTCATCATCTTACATGTGATTGGGTGTTGTCAACTGACCTGTTAGAAGAGTAACAGTGGCCTCTGCTCCCAAAAGCTCCCAAAATCTTGTGTAGATTGTTCCTTTTACTTTCCTACAGAAGAAGCTACAGATCAATGCATTACCAGTTGTCTCCAAAAAAAATGCTCTTAAGAACTGTTGGGAATATGCTCTAAAGTTTAGGTTTGAGGACCATTCAGTGTGGTGTTTCAGCAAAAGAGGAAAACTTCCACACATACCTAAGTCAAAAATCCCATTGCAGGGCGTCTATCAATCCACATCCAGAAGCACTCAAGCTAACTCTAAAAGCCAGTAGACAGAAGGAGTAACCCTTTATCAGCTTAGGTAAGGGATCTTAGACTCTATGAAGACAACTGGGGATTTAGAATTTAGATTTAACATTGAAATGGATCAGAATTCACACACTCATGGACCTACTTTAGGCAAAGAAGTTATGGCAACAGATAAAACAAAATTGTTATTCAAGGGTGATAGAAAATAATAACTGATGGTGAGTTTCAAAGTAGGAAGGAAAGCAATGTTTGATTTGGGCCACTTAAAGGGACAGCGTCAGCTCAGCAAGCTCTCCTGACATGGAAGCAGAGTCTTGTGTAGATTGTTCCTTTTACTTTCATTCAGAAGAAGCTACAGATCAACTGCTAGCCCTATGTCCTTACACACTAGTGACAAAATAACCCTTCCCACATATAACTGCATTTGGCACCTAAAACAGGATTATAGGTTAGGTTGTCCCTCTGGGCAAACACTGTGCAATTGCTGCCTTAGATGATGAACATGTAATATCTATAATGGTTAGTGTCACCAAGTCAAATGTCCTGAAATTTATGAAAGCCTATGCAGATCACGTTGTTTGTTGGTGAGTTTCATGGACAAGATGGGTAAAAAGAGAAGAAAGGATGAGGTGAATAAATTTAGAAATAAACAAAGAGATACAAACAGGAAAGTATTTTTCATTTCCACTTTATTTTTTCTTTTAATATAGGGATTCGACTAGTTTGGCTGCTTTTTTAGCGAACAGGAAGAGAGATGTTGGAGAAAAATCTAACTGAAAACCTACTTACTGTATAGCAGGCATCATGGCAGGTACTTAATTTCTTCATAATTGATCCTAAGGGTAATTCTGTAGCTATGTAATACTTATCTAATAAATATGAAATACAGACTGGTATACATGAGTCACTCACAACTCTACAGTACCAGAGTGGGATTGAAAGAAGCAAGCCCCACAAGTAAAACTCAACTTCAACCTTTATGGTTTTGTTTGATTTGTAATCAGAATCGGTGTAGCTACTGGGAAACTTTTAAGCTTGCTGTAATCAGCTTGGTTATGAAAATTTACTATTTCAGTTGTAAGGTGGTTTGGATTTTTGTTGTTGTTTTTCTTTTTTGAAAATGCCTTTTATTTTTGAGATTATAATATAATTACATTATTCCCTCTTCCCTTTCCTTCCTCCAACACCTCTCCCCATTAACCTTCCTTGCTCTTTTTGAAATTAATGGTCTCTTCTTTTCTTATTAACTTTTTATATGCAAATATATATTTGTACACATAGACAGATGCATACATAATTCTAAATATAAACTTCCCAGTCTGTTTATTGTTGCCTACATTATGTTTTCAGGGCAGTTGGTGTGCTCTTCCCTGGGAAGACTACTTTTTTCCACTTTCAGCATTCCATAATTGCCTGTAGTTGTAAGGGATTGAAGGGAGGCTGTATGAGCTTTCCCATACATTTTGGCATGCCTATTGTTGTTGTCCTCGTTCTTTCATGTTTAAGCTATAATGTGGGTGACAAAGTCTCACCTTCTGGCCTTTATAATTTTTCCATCCCCTATTCTACAGTGCTCTTGGTGGTAACCAACAGCTCTCCAATTGAGTTTAATACCCACCCAAGAAGAGAGAAACCATGTCTTATAATGAAAATATAGCAAACTATCCAAGGCTAGTGAAGTCATAGATCTTCGGGAAGAATTCTACAACCATTACTTTACTGAACCAGAATAATCCTTAACAACACTCTAAATATTTTGTCTTTTTTTCCACAGATAATTGTAGTCCTCACTCCTCATCAAGGACTCTTCTCTTAGCTTCAGGCATGGAACATTACAGAAAACCACAACCAATTAAAATGTGGGTAGCCCAGTCCCATACTTAAGACTCAACTGTAAGTTTTAGACACGACAAATATAATTAAAGTATTTGTCATGAATATTTAACACTGAAATTGAAACATGTTCTAAGTCTGAAATACATGCACTGCATTCGTTGATTTAGCATGAAAAAGAATACAAAATATTTTAAGAATTTTATAGTCATTATACACTAATGACTGTTATTTTGGTGTTATTTGGTGTTATAATGGTGTTATTTTGGACACAATTGGATTAAATATATTACTAAAATTTTCACTTTACTTCTTTAGTATATATGAAGAACAGTGTGTAGCTGTCTTTTATTGATTTTTCTAAGTTTAATTCAGTGTTTCTCAACATTAACAGCAATTAGAAGCTTGGTATACATACCAATGCTATGTCCATGAGATAATACACTGGGGTGGACCTGTATTTTGGTGTCTGTATTTTCAAAGTATGCTCCAGCAATCCTTAACTGTAACCACAACTGAGCTCTAATGGGGAAAAGATTTAAATTCCTTTTGTGGACAGTGGGAAGAGTTTGAAGCTTTAGAAAGGGTAAGTCATAAAGTGCAATAAGATGTTCCTTGACTTACAACTGTTGGTTTTGCTAATCACAAGTCTCTACTAAAATGTAACCTCCAAAGAAAATATAGAAGTGACCTATTTTGTGCTACCTATCATTTTTCTCCATGTCCCAAACAAGTATCAAATAACAAGGGACCACAATAATTTTTTCTGAGTAAAATAAAGTACTTAAAATATTTAATAAGCATATAGAACCATGGTGCTTTAATTTCTTGATGATTTACCAAAAAATTGAGATAAGTTTTCAAATTCTTAGACCTAATGATTAAATTCACAAGAAATAATTAGAACATTGATTAATACTTACTTTTGGTAAATCTCTGTTTTTAAAGCTAATTGGATTGCCAACTAGCTTGTTTGGAAGGCAGACACATTAAAATTTATTTAATCATTTCTTCCTTGACTGAATGCTAGACTTATGATTTTCTTCAGAAACTAATAAATCTGTATGTATTTATTGGCTCATAATACTTGCCACCACTGGTCTTCTTGAATAATTTACATTTATAAGCATAAAGTATTTGACCAGAGGAGAAGTCACTATTCAAACTGTTCTCTGGCCTAACAGTGGAAAAGAAAATACAGTCAAATCTACATTCTACACATAACTAAAATATGGGTCAGTTCTTCCCAGATAATAACTTGGATGCTCTCACAAGGAAGTTTCTACTTTGGATATGTGGGTACATTAGCAGAGCGCATCCTGGCTTGGGGTGCTTGCTACTGAAATGATAACAGAGAGTGGATTTAGAAAGAGATTAATTCATTAACTCTCTGGTTCTTCTGTAATTCTGGTCAACAATGCAAATAAATACAGTCATCCTTAAGGGACACAAGGACAAAAGAATGACAATTTTATTAAATGTACTTTAGCTTTGAAAATTATCTCTACTTTTGCACTCATGTGGAGTTTATAATATTAATATCACATCTAATTTCTTTGAATCTCAAAAGATTTTCAAACAACCCTCTGACGGTTTGTGACCATACAAACCAATAAAAGGATTATATTCATCCAGGCATACAGCTTCCTCATCTGTGACAGGTATAATGTGAGTAATAATCTTCATATATTAAGCCAAGCATAATTCTGGAATTTACTAGTGTAAGGTAATATCCTCCACTTCATTTTAACCACTATACAATGTCATGCATTAAAATACTGGAAGCTGAAAATTGCTAATGAAGTTCAGTTACAAGGGAGAGTAAGAATTCTTGTTATTGTCCTTGGATTAGACCTCAAAGTACAGAATGTTAAAGTTATTATTTTGGGACCAGGAAACAGACTCAGTGGACAAAGTGCCTGCTGTGTATTTATGAAGACCTGAGTTAGGGTCACCTAAACCCACATAAAAATGACACATTATTTCATGCTTGTAATCTTAGCATTCATTCCTATAGTGAGATGCAAGATGGACTCAGTGGTCAGGAAGACACCCTGTCTCAAGAAAATGACTGGGAGGGGGCTTGAAGGGCTCGAGATTACACACCCCATACCACTATGGGAATAGGAAAGGCTGTCCAGATTACCTTTTTACAGCAAAGAATTATAGTTATACTAGATATTTGAAGTTTTCAAAAGATGAAAACTGTGTTTCTATTGTAAAACCTCCTGAACTTTAGGAGACAACTATACACAGTTTTCTAAAGTTATCACATAAAGTGAGTTGTTAAAGGTCCTGTTTGTACAGGTACAAATTAAGGTTTTCTTCTCTTTCTTTGATAGTACACCCATAGATGCAAACTCTAAAACAGGTGAAGTGTGATATAAAAACTCTTGTATATCTTTATCTTGAAGAACATAGTAAATCCCATAGTATGAGATAATTTGCTCAACTATAAACTTTTATAGCACCAATACCTTACACTGTTTAGCATGCGATATATCTTGGGTTTGGATCTGAGAATAATTCACCAAGTACAGAGTGGTCGAACATTTTGCCACATGGCTTGAGGCACATAGGTAGTACTCAGTAGAACCAGAATACTAACCTGTATATTCTGATTCCAAATAGTATTTGTCATATTATTTTTAATGACAAGCTAAAATTCATTGATATGAGCTTCTCAGAGGTAAGCAACTCTAGGCAATCACAGAAGGGTGGAATCAAGGTTTGATTCAATCCTGGACCCATGACCAAAAATCTGCCAGGTACAGCAAGCCATCAGGGCTGGTGAGGTGGTTCAACTGGTAAAGCCATCTTTAACACAACTTGAAAAACCTGATTTCAGCCCAAGAACCCCATATGCAAAAGGTGACAGAGCATCAACTGAAAAAAAATTGTCCTCTGACATATGACCACAGACTCATGTCTTGCACACTCAAAATAACAAAACTTTTCAAGGAATATTGACAGTTTAATTAGCATTGCCCTTGGAAATGCACGAAATAATGTGTTTTCAATATCATTTCTCCTTTAAATGCAGTGACAGCTCAAATGTGAAAGCACGCATGGCCCATTCAGTCAGAATAAAGTATAGCCCTGGTGCTATGAACCGTTCTTTGAGTTTTATGTTCTGTGCATTCTACAAAGCAAAGGGAAATTAAATTAACACAGTTGTGTATAGCATTTAAAAATTTTACCCTATTTAATTCCCTATAGTACTGTATTTTGGTTTTGCAGTCATAATTTAAGTAAGTTCCCTTCAGGTACATAATTAATTCCCCCCAATCAAAGCAAGTCACTTTTCATGACTTGACCTATGACAACTCACCTCTCTGACTTGTATGATGTGAAGAGTTACATCATGCACACATTTTTTCTTCAAACTTCAAAGTAGAATGAACTCACTCTTTATCTTTAATGCCTCTCTACACAAAATATCTTTAATTTTACTTTTCAAATATTTTTATAATGAATAGCATACAGCAGACACAGAGCATATATCCATATTCATCTCTTATTGGTATACATCCAGAAAAAAAAGCAGCCCTCAGCAATCTTTCATAACAATAGACTGGAACAGAGAAATGAGTCAGTTTATTTCCATCTCAAGCTAACAAAAGCTGTTCCTACAAAACATAAGACTCAACCCGTTCGACCAAGTGGGTTCTCATAACCCATCTGGTGTACACTCTTAATTTTATAGAAAAGAACTTGAAATCCAAAAAAATTGGAGAACTTCATCAACTTTTACCTACATTGAAAAAGTTGTCTGGGGTTTTGTAGTCCTTCCTAGTCAGGCACAGTGTGCCCATAGTCCCAAGACATGAAACCCCTTGGTCAGCTCAAATACTTGGGGCAAGTACACTTGGAAACTTGTCTTTCTTTAGCACTAAAGATTGAGAGAAGAGGGAAGATCATTTTCAAATTTATTCCTAGCCTTGCTAGCACTCTGATACTTCTAAAATAATTTCTAACAACACAAGTCAGCAAGCAAAGGATGACTTGTACATACTCTGGTGTAGAAGGCAAAAATTCACACTGATCTCAGTGCTGACAAGGTTCCCAAAGGGTTTGTGAGCAAAATTTTGAGGGGGTCCCAAGGTGCTTGTACACAAAAGTGTCCTAGGAATAATTTTCTCGTAGAAAATGTATTCCACATGCAGTCATGTCTGGACAGGCAAAGAGATAGAGAACTCTAGTATTGAGTGAGTCAAGGCATCAGACTGCTTCTGGAATGCTCAGTAATGAATTTTACAGAAATGTTTTTATTATTTTTCCTCAATTCCCTGTCACTCTTTTTCCAACTTAAACTACTTCCCATCATCAAAAGAGCAGAATTTGGTTACTTATTTGCTAGATGCCTGTCTTGAATAGAATAATAGTTTCATAAGCAGAGTGCTTTTCCTTTAGTTGACCCTAATTTAGAGGGTTCAAGAGGTCCAACTTTTCATAGAAATTGTCTAAGTTTGTTCAATTTAAACAATATTCTTCTTACATGAAAAAGTTCAAACTTTCACACAGGTTTATGATCGCTAATCTTTACTGTCAACTCAAGAGGATTTAGAATCAGCTAGGGAACAGTCCTCTTTGTGTGTCTATGGTAACATTTCCAGAAGGGAGTCAATGAAGGAAGACCTACCCTGAATATGGAAAGAACAACCTAGGTCTGGGTTCCTGGACTGAACGAAAAGGGATAAAGGAGAAAGTCACCATTCTTCCATTCATTGTTCCCTGCTTCCTGACTGTGGACAGAATGTGATCAGCTGCCCCAAGTACTACTCAAGTCTTCCCTACCACAAAGGACTGTTTCCACAAATTCTGAATAAAAGTGAACCTTTCTTTCCTAATCTTGCTTTGATTTATCACAACAATAAGTAAAGTAACAAATTCAGAATTTTCCCCAGTCCTTACTCATCAGACATGCTTCAACATCTCACCAGGTAGTGTATCTTTGTCAAAAGGCTTACTGTTCAAATTCTCTTGTGATTTCACATGTGTGCCAACTCTGCTTGGGAGATGCTTGGGAGATCCTTCTGCATCTGGAAACTCACCAAGGCTATACAATAACCAATCGTATCTTAGAGATTCACTGCAATTTCTCTAAAAGGACAGGAAGTGCATATTCAGTGAATGAATGGATTGGAGGATAGGTAGTACAAAAATAAAAGGTGACATTGCTTACCAAATCACCAGTTTGTGGTACTTAGCCATGATAAATCAAAATCAAAGGAAGAGTCAGCACTTAGAGTCAAAAGGCCAGTAAAAAAGCAGTACAGACATTAAGGAGAAACAACTCTTCAGAAATTTAAAACCTACCATC